TGTGTGTGAGAGAGAGAGAGAGAGAAAAGAAAGAAAGCAAGACAGAGACACAGAATGCTAGACTGAGGATCCCCACTGGGAGGACAGTCAGAGGCCATTCTCATCTCTGTTCTGTGAAAGCACTGCAATGTTCACACACCTCTGTCACATCCTCTTTATTACAGCAGAATTGCTGCCGTGCACAGGATAGAAGGGAACCCGAACTGATGTACAGAGGGCCAGAATTCCTCTGTGTGATTGTAAGGATTCTCTGAAGTTAGGTTGTAGCTGTGTCTTTAGTCTTCTCTGGAATGTTGAGACATGAACTTTAATGAGTGCTCATTCTTCGGTGCTACGAATTATCATAGTGACAGTCTATTAGACAGATTTTGTCATTTTGAAATCATTTACATTGGTTGATAGCAGCACTCCCTTGGGTGATTAAGTTGAGTTAATTGAGTAAAGTTAATTAAGCTTATTAAATATTGTGATATACAGTAATAGCAGTAATGCTGTGAAATATTTAAATTTAGCTGTTTTATATTCAAATTTGTTTTAAAATGTAGTTTATTCAATTATGGCAAAGCTGAATTTTCAGCAGCCATTACTCCAGGGTCCAGGGTCACGTGATCCTTTAGAAATCATTCTAATATGCTGATTGGCTGCTCAGAAAACATTTGTTTTTATTGTCAATGTTGCAGCGTAATGTTTTTATGGAATCTGTGATACTTTTTTTCCAGGATTTTTTTCCTTTTTGGATGAATAGAAAGTTCAAAAGAATTAAAGCATTTATTTAAAAAAATAAATCGTTAGTAATACTATACATATGAAGATGCAATTTAATGCATCTTTGCTGAAAAGAAGATACTGTTAAAACATGAGAACTGACTTCATACATCTAAAAATGTATGAGGCTTTTTTATATATTGTTGACATGAGTGGATATATTTTTAGAGTGCATACATTTTTAGATGTATGAAGTCAGTTCTCCGATGTCTCACATGCTTTCACACATACGTATGCTCTTTTTCATGTTAATTGCCTTTATATTACAGGAACTGACAGGAAATAACAGGGGGAGGAGGGGGGGAACAGGACTGGGAAATGACCTAGGCCAGATTCAAACGAGGTTCCCTACAAGCAGCTCTTCAAATGGTAGGACCAAAGCACCACCCTCTGTGCCAGCGCTCCGACATAAAGGCTTTCTATACGTTTAACAGCATTATTCTGCTTAGAAGTCATGCACAAACAGGATCCAGTGTCAAAATGCCAGCAAATCATGTCCAGCAATAGGCTCTATATGCACGAACGCTGCTGACGTATTTCCGGTAGAATCTCAGCCAGTGTCTTTACCTCCGCATAGCGCGTTCTATAGACCTTATGCACCAGAGAAACGAGGGCGCCGCCATCTTTAGAGTATTGTCTTTGAACTTCCGTTTTTGCGGTTGCTCTGTATATTTCTATGGCATCGCTGTTCAGGAGTAATTAGCTGGTGAAGTTGATTTACTTATTGTAGAGTTAACGAAAGTTATCATGAGCATTGAAATGTTTATGATAAGCATTGTAAAGCATATGTCTTAACAAATGGACCTTGGGAATTTTTTTTTAACAAGCCGTTCATTCATAACTAGGCAAGATCGCTGTGAAAATACAGACCGGAAGTCAAAAGACAATGAGCTCAGCGCGGAAAAGGGGCGTGGCTACATAAGGTCTATCGCGAAGTGTACTAGCGGCCAAATTTTAATAAAATTAATTTTCTCAGAAACGAGACAACAATTTTAGAAACTGATTCGAGATTTCTCATTTTTCAGTATCAAAACACACTGATTGACCACTAGTTACAAGAGTTTTATTCTAAAGAGCTTAAAGGAATAGTTCACTTAAATATGAAAATTCTGTCATTGTTTACTCGCCCTCAAATTGTTTCAAACCTGTATGAATTTCTTTCTTCTGCTGAACACAAAAGATGATATTTTGAAGAATGTCGGTAACCAAACAGTTGATGGACCCCATTGACTTCCATTGCATTTTTAATTTTCTACTATGGGAGTCAATGGGGGTCCATCAACTGTTTGGTTACCGACATTCTTCAAAATATCATCTTTTGTGTTCAGCAGAAGAAAGAAATTCATACAGGTTTGAAACAACTTGAGGGTGAGTAAATGATAACATCATTTTAATTTTTAAGTGAACTATTCCTTTAATCAGATTCAGTCAGTCATGCAGCTAACCTGTTGTCTATTTCTACTCCCACTGATATTTACATTTTGATAAGACAAGCTCTTCCAATTATCTCTTCACTGAGCTGATTTTCGCATTAATTTACATAGCCGCTGTAATATTTGGAAACAACATACTTTTGCTCACACACGCACATGGCAAGTGTTTGGAAATGTCATGAAATTTATAAAACGCCGGATATCATTTATTTACCCGATCTAGTTAGGAGAGCCACTTGGGTTCAGTTACAGTCTCCATAGCTTGGCTCTGAATTTCTGTCTGGCTGTGTTTCTCTCTTCACACTCTCTACTCAGTACATACAGTGTCTGTCCTTGTTTTACCTCAAGTGTGTTTATATGTTGTTTTTGTCTCTGCTTGAACTGTGAAATGTGTGAGAAAATGTTGCTACTGTTAGTTCCACTGTTTTCTTAAGAAGCAATTACAGGGGCCGTCCAGGGAGAAAGGATGGGCATCATGTTTTGACATTCTCCTTAGAGATCATCACGGATGAAATGCTGCGAGCGTTTAGTCATCACATTTGCGCCGACTCCGATTTCAGGCTCTGACTTGCCAGATTGTTATCAAGGAAAATACAAATGGTTATCAGAGAAAGTACCGCACAGTCTGTTAAGAGGATAAGCATCAGTATGTTCCACAGAATCAATCAAAAGCCCAGGTATGTTGAATTTGTCCACACTTCTCGCAGGGATCTACTGTATATTCTCCGCCAAAGCCTTATTGATTTGTGCAGATATCTTTAAAGAAAAGCTGAACTGACATAACACAGTCTGTCGGGATGTTAGTTTAGCTTGAAGGTGCGGGGAGGCGAAAAATCAATAGAACTCATTTTTGAATTTCTTCAAAAATGTTGATCTAAGCCTTTGAGTGATCCCAACTATGTGACTTTCTTGAGAATAGATTAGTCAAAACAACAACGCAGTTCGTGCGTAAAGCTATTATTAAAGGTGTGAAAGAAAGAAAGAGAGAAATAAATAAAGCTGTATTCACATTTTAAATGGCATTTACTTTGACATTTACTGTATACCTTTTCACATTTCATTTCAGTGAATGACTAATTTAGGGTGATGCATTCTGTTCAATTAAACTCTGTTTCTAACCTCTTTCAATAATTTCCACTATCTTTCTTTAAATAGTCAATCTCACATTCAGTTTATAATTCCTCAGTGATAATGCTATATCTTAGACACCCACTATCTCCTCCTAACCTTGCATGACAGACACTCTTCGTTTCCAATTCACCCATACAGTCCAGCAGAGTTTGACCTTTTGCAAGTGTAACCAAGACATTTTGAACATAGTTACATGACTGAGGGGATTACTTGAATTCCTTGGCATGGATGGATGGAAAGAAAGATGGATGGATCTGTTCTTTATTTTCATTTTTTGTTCTTTCTATGGATGGATTGATAGATAGATGGAGAGATAGCAATATAGATGTTTAGATAGATAGAAGAACAAAAGAAAGAAAGGAATGGATGGATGGATGATGGATTTATTTGAGTGTAATGAGACTCGACAAGCCCACAGCGATGTAGTTCTGATAGCAGTGCACATTATTGCAAGAGTAGGGTGTAAAATAAATCATTTATAAGTCTCGATGACTTTGATCTTGAGACTGTGTGTGTGTGTGTCTTCTCTAAAGGACAGATGCTCGCTTGCTGCCTTAAGGCAACCTCACGGTGTCTAAGAGCCTATAACTGCAGACAGAACGTTGAATTATTATATGGAAAAATGAGCTAAGACCCAGACTGCAGATGTGAAATAAAAACACACTTTGACCTGTTGCCAAGTTTATGTATCTGGGGCTGCATGACATCATGTGCACTTAAATGCAGGTTTACAAGAAGTGCTTGAGAATGAACAGTCGGCACTAATTGTGATGACAGTAAATGGCACAGAATTGTACTGATACTATTTCAAGTGCACTTATTCTGTGACAACATGTGTGCTATTTACATACCGGTAGGTACATTTTATATTAGCATTTAGATTTCAGTAATATGCATGGTTAAAATATATATATATATATTAACCCATCTGACTTATTAATGAGCCACCTGCCATTTAAGTGTAAATAATTAATTGGGGAGACCTTATTTTTGTTTTTTATTGATTTGTTTCATATACAACAATTGAACCGAAAATAACGGATTCCCCTGAATAAATGAGTGATGTGTGATTGTGGGCACTTGAGTGAGTCCAAAGACCACCGTAATCTCCTGCTGTTATAATGCCTTCCCTGAGGACTGTGAGTGGTGATTGTGGCTTGAAGAGTCTCGTGAGTTTCCTCCCTTGAGCTTTGTGTCCACATATCTAAACGTGGGCATGTCAATGTGATGAATGAGTTGTGTACAAACTCACAGTTAATCAGAACTTACCGGTTTTAAAATAGTTTAATGACATGATTGCACATAAAATGCCTCAGTCAGTTGTGCAAACACTAAAGCAAATATTGAACATGAATCATGATGATAGATAGATAGATAGATAGATAGATAGATAGATAGATAGATAGATAGATATGTCTTTTTTAAAATAATAATTTCCTTTTAATGCCTCATGCAACTAGGTGGAAGGTTTTTACACTCCAACAGTGGACAGACTACTTCACAAGCTCTGTGTGCTATAATAAGGGAGAGTGAGTGTTGAGTCTACTCGGTGTGGGCTTTTGAAGCAGTCTGCACTACTACACTGATGCGCATTTGTCCGCTGACAGCTCGCTAACTGCGCGTCTCTCCACCCGCTGACAGACGACAAACACCCTGCAAATGACATGCCACGAAAAAATAAGTTAATCGGAGTAATATAATAAACCAGCTCACTTCCTCTGGCAATCGCAGAAGTGGCGGAAGTACGTCAGTTTGCTAGACTCCGAGCATTTACACTTCGCAGTGCGATTTCTGACGAGCAAGAACAGAGAGAAGAGGAGATGTGAATCATCCGCTGTCTCTTTAAAGCCACTTAGCGAAGCTTCACGTATTCCGACAAACACGCCGACGTCTTTCCCTTCAGCCGCAGCGCGCGCGGGCAGCGTTCAGGAATGGACGTGTTCAACTTACTCTCTGCTGGATAACCAACTCTTTTCCTGGTTGGATATGATTTGTTTTTGGTGGATTGTGTGCTGAAGAAGGATCTTTGGGGGATATAACAGCATTTTCAGCCTGACGCGGACCGTGTTGTCTCGGATGGTTTCGTGGCGTCTCTTCACGCTGAAACTTGGCGATACAATAAGTTCCTATCTTTAAATTGTTTGACAAACACGCGGATGCCTATTTGTTTTGTTTCTGGCACAGTGGGTCATGAATCGGGTGAAGATTAAAGCAGGGCCAGCGTCATGAATACAGCGCGCGGTCTGCAGTATCTACACACACTGATGTTGTTGTATACCATTGCAACAAAGTTGCCGTGCGCGTGGAATTCACGCTACTGTAATTAAACAGCCATTTTGCACCTGTTTAAATGAAGCGAGGCGTTTCGATACTGTGACGCTGTGGTTTGGATTAGGCTACACGCCTTAACCTGCATGGATCACATTTGTTTGTTTATCACATTACGGAGCTTAACATCCAAGGTCATTCTGTAGATTGTTTACAGGCTTCAGTACTATACATGGATGTGTTGTATTGATTGTGTGGAATCGACTGGTTTTTACGTGATCAAGTGTCATTTTTGTCTTTTTTCTTTTTTTACGGGGGGGAGGGGGGAGGACATCGCACCGTTTTTAAAATGGAAGGGAAAGTGAAGCAGAGTCGCAGATCCCGTTCGCAGCGCGAGAGGGGACGGAAACGGGAGGCACGCGCCGGGGAAACCCGCAATCGAAGCCCCTCGTCTGGTTCCGAACGGGAGCGAAGTCCCGGTAAAAACGCTCCGCCACGCTCGACATCCTCGAGCAGAACCCCGCGACCCCCCCGGAGGAAGAGACGCGAGTCTAGTTCTCAGGAGGAGGATATTATTGATGGATTTGCTATTGCCAGTTTCGTCAGTTTGGACCGTCTCGAGGTAAGAACCAGTTTAAATATTCTGAACACGTCTGACCGTCTATGGCCGCTGCGACGGTTCAAGTTTTTGTGTGTGTTCATTATACGATTGTGAACGGCTGTGATGACATAACAGCTTCTGAGGGTGCTAAACAGGTGTTTGGTGTTGTTGTCACAGTGTCGCATTCCAGAAGTTCCGTTTTCCAGTGAGCTTTTATGATGACAGAACACAGTGATAGTGACGTAATAGAGGTCACGGCTTTTGATTTTGCTCGCTGTCACTCTTGCAGAAGTGTGTCAGGAGTGTTTGGATACAGTGCATCATTTTGAAGCTTCTGTTTGAATGACAAGATAAACAATAGCGACTTGAGTTTGTCAGGCTGCTGAAATGATTCATGACATATCGGGAAGTTGTGGTTTTTATGGTTTTGGGGGCTTTTTTATGTAGGCTAGAGGAGCTGTAAATGTCTCTTATAAATGACACTTGTTGACATGCAGTTCCTGTCATTACTGTACTGTTGCTGTGACAAATACTGTTGGTCGAGATGACAAAGTTTAGTAGTTCCAAGTTTTTGTTGTTGTTCCAAGTTATAAAATAATTTTCACCTTGAAGTAGCTACCTATTCACGTCTCAATGTGCTCACACCAAGATGTTTTTTTGGGGGGTTACTTATTTGGCCTGTGCAAAATATGTGATCTATTTTTTTCTTTAACTTAATGACCTTGACACAGGGACTAAAAGAGCATTAAAAGCAAAATAGCTGTAATTATTCTGATTATGCCAACTGTCTGAACACTGTAAAGTTACAATAAAAGACTGTTACACTGCCTAGACAATTTACATTTTTCATTCAGAAATTGTAAACAAGTTAATCATAGGTGTATTCTACTTGTTTTTGTATAAATTCCATTTTAGTAGATTTGTTTGAAAGCCTAAAAGACCCTGACCACATCATTGACATAATGATTAAAAAGCATCATTATGTCTCAAGGTTTCCTCAAATAAAGTACTGTAAACAAACCATCACACTCAATGTGGGCTGTATTTATTTAGTGTGTTTGTATGTGAGTGTGTGTTCCCAGACATGATCATTGATCATCAAGTGGTGTGTTTGAACTTTATGTACTGATAGAGAAGATAATAAGGGCAAGGGAACACACATTGTGCAAACAGCCTTGAGTTACGGAGAGTTGTATAGCTGAAGTGATTGGTTATTGGCTAGCAAGTTTGAGTACATTCATGACAAATGACAGTGGCCTAACATGACCAGTGAACTGTAAAACAGGGCTCAGTCACATAAACAAACATAGATATACTTCTACGTTGACTATGAAAACAGTTGTCATACCTCTCGGGATCAAGTGATTTATTGAAAGTGTTGCGGTTAAATAAAAAAGCCGGTTTGTGTTAATTTAAACATTAACATGCTAATTGAGTGGTAATTTCTCTACTTTGTAGAGGTATTCTCAGTTCAGGCATATACCCTGATAAATAGGCATTCCCTACCATGATTACTATTGGCATGCTTACATTTTCATAAACATGTACAGTTTGGTTGGTAACGCTTCCTTCCTTTTACAGTACAGTACTTGCAGTGTACTTACCTAGAAAGTACTGGCTAATATATGGTAAGTACATGGGTTAGGGGTAGGTTTAGGGGTAGGTTCAGGGTTAGTACCTACTCAGTAATTATATAAGTACAAAGTAAGTACATGGGTAACAGGACTGTAAAAGGAAGCGTTACCGTTTGGTTCATATGTGTTGTTTGTAGGATGAACAGCACATCACTTTGTGTAAGTATTAAGATGTTCTAGTTGACATGATTCTTTTGAGGATCAGAATCCACCCTCATGCAGTGTCATTCAGGCCACATAAACGCATCTTTCTTTGAACTTTTCCTCATATTTTGAATGTCTGATGAACGGTTAAGTGACTAGAGCTCTCCATCTGGCAAAGGAAAATAAATCCATCAGATGCATTTGTTTACTACTTAATGATTTGCTTCTGAATCAGCTTACCTGCGTGTGTATGCATTTTCAGGGCTGATTTAAATGTCAGCTGTGGGATATGATGTTGTGTGGTAGAAGCTTTGAGATGTTTTAGTAAAATTACTTAATGCCTCCCAGCCCTTTAAGTCCTTCGGTGTAATGAAGTACTTAATTGATAAGAAAGCTGCAGTTATTTCCCCCACATGAGAACCAAGAGGCTTGTGTGCCTGGATACAGGATCCTATAGTTATATTATATAGGCCTATTTCTCTGGGTTTAATGTTACAAGTTGGGATTTTAGTTGCATAATTTTGCTATGTGAACATTAAGTGTTTCATTTGCATTTCTGCTTTATTCTATTGGATCTCTGCGTGTAACTATTCGTCTTACCCATTGTTTTGACCTCACTATAGGATGAAAAGGCGATGCTAACGATGTCATATTTGAAGCTCAGGTATTTTTAATAAAGTATTACACTGGAATGTGACATCTTCATGGTGATTTTAGGTAAAGGGAATGAGAACGACGATGAAGAACTTTTATTCTTATGTTGTTATATAGATAGCATGATGTTTTTGTATTGCCTTATTATCTTAAATTTGAAATATAAAAGAAAATCGCTCCACCAGCTGGTGTCCACACTTGCACATTAGCTGCTCCAAAGGAGCCTATAAGCTTTTGATAACTGTTCTAAACATGAAGAGGTGGAGAAAAGTGAATGCAAATGAAAACTATGACCTAAGATGCTCTTTAAAAGATTGAATTGTGGTCAGTGTCAGTATCATTAATATTTGTTTGACTTCCATGTTAGACAACACAATGTTCTGTGAAAGACTGTAAACAGTAAGCAATAAACATTTTCAAGGCCGAGTTTGATTCAGCTTATTTTCCACTTGTACTATTTTCCAGCAATTTAGGGTTTTTCTTTTTTTCTCCATGAAGCACCCGCTGGCTGAGAAAGCTGTTCAGGGAAGACAGAAATGACAGACTAGCGTTAGTGCTTCTCTGAAAATTGCTGTAAAAATAATGGGAAAGAAATTGAGAAGAGTCATAAGTGGCTCATTAAGTAATAGTGTTTTCTTTTTAAACAGGCAGACCTTATAGCCCAGGTTTCCCATTCAGAGAAAACTATTACTGTTAAACACTTGCACTTTATAAGCATTTGAGTGAATTCTTTTTTCTTTTTGACTCGGGTAGTTCCCTTTGACATCATGGAAGTGTTTGCTATAAACTTGTTTCTGACTTGTTGGAGCCTGTTCTGACTTTTGTTTTCAGGGCTTTTGGTTATGTGTTGTGGTTTTCTGTCTGTTTCTGGGCGTTGATGAATCATTTCTCCAAACAAGTTTCAAATCATCATACCCCCAGATTTTTCGACTAGATATTTCAAACAAGGCCTAAATCTAACCAAAGGGATGACTTTTAAGCTGCTTTATTTCATTGGCTTTTTTGTTATTATAGTATTTCAATCTGTTGACATTAAGTATGAAATCATGTAATATTTGGGTATAAAATGAGTAACTTGGATGGCACATATGACCGAAAAATATTTTTCTTTAATAAGATTCAAAATATTTGTGTATTTACTCTGAAGTAACTCTGAATAGCTTAAAAGGGAGATTTTATTATTATTATTATTATTTTTTTCAGACCGAGTATATTGGCTAACTATCATGGATTGCTGCATTTACTTATTTTTCTACACCAATACAACAATAGTAGTCAACCAATATGTCGGTAAGGCCGATATTTGGCATTTTAAATGATCAGCATTGCCAATAATTTTTTCTGTTTGGCCAATAATTGTTGGTGTTTCTATATAAAGTATTAATGTGTTTGATTCAAAGGTTTATTTTTTCATCGTTCAAATTATATATTACGAATTTATTAAATATTTCTAAAATAACCATGTGCACCATGTGTTATTTACTGTAAATGAAATAGTGATATCGTATATTGACTTTATATCATCCATCGGCCACCCCGATCTCTAAGATATTGGCATTGGCCATAAAAAAAATCCATGTCGGTAAACGTTTAACAAGAAACAGTAAAGAGCAGTGATATTTACCTACTTATAGGGAACAGTTTTCAGAGTAACACTTTATTTTAAGGTGACATTGTTACACGTTACTACATGTGCTTACTATAGTAATCACAGTAACTTATGCATAATTGCAAGTAACTAACCCTAAACATAACTCTATGGTAAGTACATGTAGTTAATTAATATTACTCGGTATTTACTTATTTGAGTAAGTACAATGTAACTACGTCATCTTAAAATAGTGTAACCGTTTTCATTACAAACAAATTGTTCAATTGTTTTAAATCCATACATTGAAACTGAATAATGGAAAGACTGAAAATAAATGATAAAATAAAAAGCATATTAAAACCATTGTCATATCCACAATCTTGCTTTATTTAATATCGCCAGCAAAATCATCATGCTTATATTGGCAATTTGATATATTGTCCGACCCTAGTCGTACATGCACGTTATTGCTTCTTAGTTGGCACAGTCGTAATGAGAGAGTGTGTGTGTGTACGCTCATACGTTGAGTCTCTGTGTGTGTCTTAGAGCATGTTTTCTTTATAAATGACGCTTGCTGTGAAAGCAATTAGCGTAACAATTGTCGACAAGCTCCTGCTCTGAACGTGAGATAGCTGCCTCGGCTCCATGGGGAAAAGCCTTTATGGTCTGACTGATACTAACAATAATTGCTGAGAGTGCTATTCCCACATTGAAATAAGATATGGAGATGGGAGAGGTTCTCAGAGGCCTGTCTTCCTCACTCAAACACTCCTCCTCTCTCGATTTCCCTCCCTTTGTATTTTGTATGTTTTAGTACATTTGCGGTTTGTTGATTGGTGTGAAATGAAAGGCTCTTATGCCTGCATAACCTTTAGATTTAACCTGGATCTTGATTGGTCGAGCCTCAGCAGGAAAGGTCATCAGACCCATTGCAAAACGTTATTCTCTGGATATGATGATGATTTATTAAACAGATATGCTCCAAATCTGAGTGGACA